ACATGGTGAAGATTAAGTAGAGCTGTTGGTCGCGTACATGTTGCCAAGTTTGTGTTACTGGTTCTGGTCACCCAGTAGCTGCATAGACCTGTTGGAAAGTTCTGGAGAGAGAATTGACCCTGGTCAGTCTCCACAAGTGAAAGAGGTGCAGTTTCCATTACTCATCATCCTGTGGAAGCCCCCGGGATGGCCTGAATCCATTCTAATATTACCCTGGATCCTGGCCACCTGTCTCAGGCAAGACAGAAGGATCTCAAGAAATGAGCAGCCATGTGGTAGTCAAAATCTGTTCCACTGTACGAAAGGCTAGCCCCAAGCTGCACTTCATTACAGGTAATCCTCAACTTACGAGGGAATTGGTTCTTGAAAACCACGTCTTAAGTCAAAATATTGTAACTCGGAACCGGTTTTCCCATAGGAACAATGTTATAAATGGGGGATTGGTTTCTGAACCAAGGTCCGATACCCTGTTTTCACCAAAAATAACCCAGAATTTTGTACTCAATCAATTATAAATGAGTAATATAGCTACATTAATGTATTTATATGGTAAATAGCAATCATATTGATTTGGGTTTGCTGGACTTTTTGAAGGGCTCTTGGTTGGAGTCTTCTCAGAAGTCTTGTCTGCAGGTTCTTCTGGAGTCTTGTCTGCTTTCTTAAAGAAAGTGTCCGAGGATGTTTGGACAGGTGTTCTTCAGGGAGATGGGTGACACAGCGACTTGTTCTCTGGTGTGGCATCGCGTCGGATCAAGTGTCATAAAGTTGAAACTGATGTCAGAAAGTTGAACTAGGGTGTCAATTTATAAATGTTTCATTGCAAAATGTGACTCAAAATATATCAAGTCGAGTACTGCCTGTATAAGGCACAGTATTTGTCTGTTGTGTGTGGGCACTTGCTCTGTGAGCTTGAAGGCATTCAGTCAGGTTTCTTTTTGAAAGAGTATTTCAGCAACTGTTCTTCTATACACCCACTTTGCTTAGCGATGAATTAGACATTTTGCTTCAGCCAGAGTCTTTGTATTGAGTTGAATAGATTAACATGTGCATATTATTGCAGCTCCAAATTCCAAGCATTGCTTTATTGTGTCACTCTCATTTAAGACACAAAGATTATAAAGGTCTTCAGAACTGATTGTGTTGCAAAGGGGATTAACAACAGTGAGGTTCCACTGGTTAAGGAGTTGTATATAGTTGGAAGATTTATTTCTAAGTATGCCTAATACTCAAGTTTTGTTCCCTCTCACCCTTCCTTTTCATGTAGAGAGTCATGGAGATCAGGGGAAGGAATGAGGAAGAAGTACTGGGCACTTCAGGTCATGAGAATAAATGGCTGCGATTTTATTAGTAGTCAGAGGGACTCATTTGATGTTCTGCTTTTATGGATTGGAATTGCCTGTGAGAATGACTTAGAATTTCACTGGGCTAAAGATACCTCATGGAGGTTATGCCAGCAGGGTCAAGTCTTGTGAAACGGCATGCGTATTTCAGGAAACCACTTACAGAAAGGAACATGGTGGCTGTCAGAGGCATAGCCAGCTCATTGAAAACCCAGGGTTGGTGGGGGCAGGTATGCCTATCACTGTAGGTGGGAAGGATGGATGGAGATGTGGGTAAGGGGAAGGGAAAGTTTTCCTTTACTGGGAACTGCTGCCACTGGTTTAGCAACATCAGCTTCACTCCAGTAGCAGCAGCCCCATGGCAAGGCTCCCTGTGAGCTAGTGCCCTGTTCACTCCCTCCCTCCTCTCCTCAGTATATATGTATTAGCATGGGGTTGCAAGGTCCTAGGAGAATGCAGCAAGGGGAGCACCTTCCTACTTACTCCACTTGCCCCCTGTCCCCCCAGATACACATGTGGTGCAGTGCTGCCTTGGTGGGCTCCTATGGCTAGGCAGGGGCTGTGCATGGCTGCCATTGCCATGGTAAAGACTCCCAGTGCCACTCAGAGTTGGCACCCGAGGTGGGTCCCCCCCCCCCCCCCCCCCCCCCCCCCCCCCCCCCCCCCCCCCCCCCCCCCCGCAGCCCTAGTTACCCTACTGTTGCCTGAACCTTTTGGCTTGTTTTGAGAATCTGAATGCCATGATTGCTATGCATCCATTTTAAGTTGCAAACAAGATGTCTGGTCAAGAACAACAAGTGAACAACCCACATTATCTAGGATTTTTAAATCCAGTTTTCACAAGCCATTTTAACCCAGATTAGGATTTATTCTATGATATAGGGAAACGATCAAATCTTTGAAAAGTCCTTTGTAAATTGTTACCCTGGCTTTCAAGTGATGATTTTTACAGACAAAAAAAAAAAAAAAACTTTTAGGGATTTGCAAATGCCTGGCAATACAACATGAATAGTTAATAGTGCCAACACTGTGAATAGCAAATTGTAGGTAATTAAATTTCAAAGGAAACTGACCTGAGGTGTGTAAATGATTAATATTTCAGAGACTTTAGAATAAACACCACTGGCCCTTGATGAGCTGATTCAGCAGGATGTGGCAGGAGAAACAACCTAATTCTGTTTGAAAAGGTAACTTTGCTATTTTAAGCTAATTAAACTGGCCAACAACGATGAGTAATTGGCAGTGAATGTGCAGCATGCAGGGACTTTACTGAGCTTGTGGTGTGCTCCCAGGATGTCCCTGAAAATGCATACTGCATTGTTTTATGTACCTGAGCTAGTGTTAAACAAGTAATCTTGCATACTACTGTACTAGAGTAAATTATCCAACATTGAGCACTGTGCTGGTGCAGCAACGCAGATCATAGCACCCAAGCTAGCTCATTTAAAGTCGGCTCAGTTCTTCATGCATTATAGTGCAGATGGCAGAGCAGACATACCCACCCATCAGATTATTGTTCCTATAAATACCGTATTTTTTCACATAACACATGCTCCCAAATAAAACATGCACCTTGTTTTTGAAGGCAGAATGTAGAAAAAAAGATTTTTCCAGAGTTGTGGCCAACTGTACGACACAGTAAGTCCTCCTAGAAATAAAGACTCCAGGAAGTGTGACACTCCGGTACAGAGTCTGGATGAGGTAGCAAGAGCTTCCTAGTATGGCAGGACAGAGGTAAAGGACAGAAACAGATCCTTGCAAAGGCAGTAGAGAGACTGTTACTTCTGTACTACCCATAGTTCTTTATATAAGTTCCTGTAAATAATAAAATGTTGTTTTCACACCACAAACCTCACCAAAGTACTACACACTACATGCAGCAGGTCCCTTGCCCTTAGCCAGCTCGGTGACTCTTCAGCCAAAAGCTCCTGCCTCACCAGCAGCTGGGAGAGAGTTAACAGCTGGACTTCACCCTGTTGCTTGCTGCCCCTGGGAGAAGTGGCAGCTACCTTGGAAGCCATTTTGGCACAGTATCTGCTTGCTTTTTTTTTCTTCCCTGGGAGAAAAAACAGCTTTCCCACTTAAGACATACTCCCCAACTTTGAAAGGCTAATTTTGCAGGGAAAGATGCAAGGAAGTAGTCATGATTGTTATTGTGGTATTATTGCTCGTAGGTCCCAGCCAGGACTGGGATCCTTTATCTCTGGCATTGTTCAAGTTTATATAGTTAGAGCTCATCTGTGCTACGAGGAGCTACACAAGACAACAAACATTAATAGGGAAGTCAGAGTAGAAGTAATACGAACATTTGCTTACATCATCTAGCTATACATATAACTTTATTTAAACCTTAACAAAAACCAAGCTCAGATATACATTGACTTGTGTACATAGACATATAAACATAAGTATGTAGACTGAGAGAACAAAACAGTACCTCCTTATTCAAGTTGCATCCGATATCCCGAACGCTGCCAACAGCACTGTTGTAGCTGATGTTTCTGCTGAAAGGATTAACAGTGATATTGTGGACCTTGAATTGCCCTTCTTTAGCAGTTAGCCCTGCATTGAAAGGAGACCACATGCTGGACCATCTGCAGAAAAACCTTTATGGGGAGAAAGAGAGAGAGCCTGTGTCAGGCCCCTCTCCTTATATTTTGATGCAGAGCAGCTGCGTATCTGCTCCACTGTGAATGCTGCAGCTTGAGGGCCATTATTAGCAACCAGGAATCCATTGTGATCCCTCTTGGAGTAATTACATATGTGTATTTATGTCGTGGTAACTCCCTGGAAATTTTCTTCCATGCTACCAACTGTTATCCCTCTAACTTTGTCCTTATGACCAGCCTCTGCATGACCTGTCCCTGGTAAAGGGATGGAACCACAACAGTTCCCTGTTTAGGCCTTCCTCTTTTGTGGGTAAAGAGTTGCGGGGGTCTCTAGTGGAACTGGCTGGAAAAAAGACACGTACTTTAAGAAAGAAAAGAAAACAAACCCCTCAAGAGTATTTTTTGTTTTATTCAAAATTTCTATGAAAATATTCAGTTTTTTTCAGTGAAAAATGTTTAGTTTTGGTGAGGAAATACCCCACTTAATGATTTTCCCAAAGATTTCCACAAAAGTATATAAAGTATAAAATGATTTTATTTCCTATTGAAATGAACTATTTTCTTTGGTTTTTAATAAAAAAGAGTTAAAAAAAAGGTTTTTACTGAACAGCTTTGATGGACATTCTTGACCAACTCAGGTCTCCAAAGACTGAGAGGGCTGCCAGGGACATAAATGAGATCAGAGAATTATCAAGAATTGCTCTCTACACAAATGGCCTTGTGCATTAGTGTGTAGGAGACCACACAGTTTGCCCCACTATTTGTAATTGCATCTTTATGGAGAAAATGAATGAAATGACTTCTATTACAGAATTTTGCAGTGAGTATCTTCTATAGGTCTATGTTTTGTTGGTGAATAAAATTATGGAAGAAGTTTGCAAGTGATTTTATTTTCTATTCTTCACTGAAGAGCTGCTGCGATGAATTCTTCTTCAACCTAGGTGCTGAGGTCCAGGTTAATAAAATGAAATGAAATTATCAATACGTTTTTCTTTCTCCAAAATCTTCTGATTGCCCCTTGGAATATATTTCTTCTCAATTTCTGTTTTAGGCCATTGGACGCCCACATTTACCTGCCTATTGGTCTCTGGGATTTCAGCTCTCTCGCTGGGATTATGGAAGCATTGACGTGTTAAAAAAAACAGTTGCTCGCATGCAGCAGTATGATATTCCATATGTAAGTGTGAATTTTGCAAAGTATATTTTAATTTTAGAATCACCTTCCTCAATGAATGGGATGAATGAAATGAATGGGAAGATGATGATGATGATAGCAGCAGCAACAATGGAAAGGGAACAAGTACTGTATGAAGGAAATGGCACAGTAAGAGGATATTCATAATCTTGTGTAATGGTTTTTCAAATGCTATCCTTATAGCTCACAAACAAAAATAATTTTTAAGGTGCTTGGACCAAATGTACTCTTTGTTACCTTCCAGTCCACTCTGATAAAGTCAATAGCTAGTTATAGTGCATTTACAGTGCTGTGAGTGAGAGCAGAATTTGTTTTTCCCATTCTTAATCTATTGCTATGTCCAGGATTTTAAGTTACA